TGTGCATGAAAATGTATCATACATGCAAGTTGGTACAAAACGTGTAACAGTATGATAATATGATTAGTAACATTCTCCAGATTTCTCCCAATTTTCATCTTAAACTGTTGTGCATGAAAATGTATCATACATGCAAGTTGGTACAAAACGTGTAACAGTATGATAATATGATTAGTAACATTCTCCAGATTTCTCCCAATACATTTCCACAATATGGTGCTGAAACTACTGAAATTTTGTTGATCAAAATAATCATGCTACTTTGTGATATTTTCAACAACAAAAATTTTTTATATAAGGTTAATGTCATCATGATTTGGGCCTATAATCAAAAATAGTCATTTTTTGGGGGGGATGTATTAGGGTAATTAAGTTTTATTTTCTGTTATAGGCCCAAATCATGCTTAAGTTAGTTGAATACGTATTTCATTGTTGAAAATAGAGTTATTTTTCAAAACTACACACTATTAGTAATTTTAGTAATAAAGTTAATTAGAAACCCTACAAAATCATTATGGTAGCTCGGTTGGGTTATAATCCAGAAACTTCAAAGCTCGTATCTATAATTCTAGTAATGTGATTGGTATGAAAATATAAATGGTTAGACAAACATTTCAAATTTTGTAATCAAAATGAAATAGTTATAATTATATTTAGAAAAAATAAATAAAACTCTACATCTAACTTTCATACTTTAGTATTTGTAAATAGAAAGCCTATTTTAATTTTGTTTTTAAGTCATCACTTATACAGTTACATTTTCGCTTATCTTTAACATTAACAATATGAAAACATTTTTCTAGCAATTATACTAATTCCATAATATGAAAAATCGATTTTGTAACAAGTATATAAGAGCTGCAGGTATTCAAAGTAGTACTAACTTTGATGAAAAATTTCTAAAAGTCTAGAAAAAACAAGGTGCAACAATTTACCATACCAATGTTTAATTGACATTCATATTGTTGTATTCACTAAGAAATTATTATTTATTGGCTGAGGTCGTAATTGGATTGCTATAGACTCCAGCTGTATTGACGTAAAAAATTGAAAAAAACTTTTATGGTAATTATTAGACCAGTCAAGTAAAAACAGTGATATCTAGTATTTATTTTTGGTACTATATGGGTTTTTAAAATTATTATCTGAAAAACAGAAAGAGGTTTGACCCCTTCATCAAGTCTATGCCTGCTTATACAACATTAAAGAATACAGTTATTAAAATTTGAAAAAATGTAGCCTGGTATCTGGACCCCTACATCAGCCCTTGCTTATACAGCATTAAATGATATAATTATTAATTTCTGAAGAAATTGGTAGGGTTTGGCCCCCTGGACTCTTTCCCTATATGAATGCTACTGTTTATTCGTTTTTGGAACAAAAATGACAGGACTGGCATGGCCAGGTGGTTAGGGCACTCAACTCTCAATCTGCAGGTCACAGATTTGAATCCCTGTTCCACCAGACGTGCTCACCCTTTAACCTATGGATCGTTACAATGTGACGATCAACCCCACCATTCATTGGTAAAAGAGTAGCCCAGGAGTTGGAAGTGGGTGGTGATGACTGGCTGCCTTTCCTCTAGACCATTTCCCTAGATCTGCACCTGCTAATACAACATTAAAGAATACAGTTATGTAATTAGAAGTTAGAAACATAACACAGTGTAAAAAAAAATAAAAAAACATTAAATGTACATTTTATTTAACACTTAGTAACCAGAGAGTTGGCAGTGGGTGCTACTAACCATTTGCCATTCCTGTAGTAAACAGTTCAAAATTAATAACAACAGCAGGTAGCCTTAATAACTTTGAAATAACAAAGACAGGATGAGTAAATTTAGTTGCAGTGGGAATTGAACCTCGGACCCAGGAATTATGAATCGTCCCTTACCTGCCCATTATGTAATTTTGTGCATAAAAACAAAGAAATATATATAATGGCAAAATTTCGATTACTTCAATAATTGGAAACCCTAACTTCATTTAGTTAATTATTTTTGTGAAAGTCTATTTAATCATAATTTCAATTAATCAGTTGGTGGAATAATAAAAAACAGTAACAATAAGAAGCACTAATTGCAATTAGTTGATTATTTTTGTGACATTAATTAATTGATGTAATAGATACTCATAGGTAATTATTTAAATTGCCCAGCTCTGCTGCCTAGTTGGACACATTGCACAAGTTATAAACAAAGTAAGTTTGTTTACAGAGTTTAAATGTCTTCAGTAGAATTTTTTTATATCCCAAATTTTGATCTCAAGTTGATTTCAGGATCTTCAAACAGGGTCTGTGAATTTCCTGAATTGTGTTTTAGCATAATGTTATATTCATACCCTCTAGGAAAAAATTCAAAATAGTTAAAAGCACAATTTAATTTCACTAAATTCAGTACTGTTTGTTTTGGCCAGTATACTTTAAATAAAATGGAGGTTAAAAACACTTATGTAATAAAACCAGGTTTTATAATGTAATTTAATTTCACTAAATTCAGTACTGTTTGTTTTGGCCAGTATACTTTAAATAAAATGGAGGTTAAAAACACTTATGTAATAAAACCAGGTTTTATAATGTAATTTAATTTCACTAAATTCAGTACTGTTTGTTTTGGCCAGTATACTTTAAATAAAATGGAAGTTAAAAACACTTATGTAATAAAACCAGGTTTTATAATGTATCTAAATGGTTTTTGTTTTGTTTTTAAGATATGTGATAGGCTTCTATTTCATATTAACTTCAAAAGTAGTTTTTCTGCTTTACAGCTTTCTAAAGATAGTTATAAAAAATGGAAGAATCTGTTTGTCATAGTTTTTGGTTTTTTTAAATTGATAAAAATATTTTAGTACTAGTATTAACTTTTACTTTTGTTTATGTTCTTACTTATAGGCCGAGGCGGGGCGTCTATCTATGGAAAAACATTTGATGATGAAATTCATCCAGATCTTCGCCACACAGGTTAGTATGCTCACAGGGTTAAAACACAAACTTGTCTTGTATTGTCAGTGTAATATGCAATCAAAGTAAAGTTGTGATTAAGAATACTTATTTCAGACTAGCTGGAGTACTATTCCCCTGGATGGAAGTTATGTTAATTTATGATTATGAAAGGTTATCTTAGGACATGAAAAGTTGCTTCACTTATAAATAATTGTAAAAAAATGCAAAAACACCCATAAAAACTGGAAAACACAAGTTTGCATGCATCTCCACATGGACCCAACAAACCTTCATGCCAAATTTGGTGAATATCCATCGACAGGGGGTGAAGTAGTGGTAAAAAAAGCAAAAAGCTCATAAAAAACACAAAACTGAACATTTTTATGTATCTCTCCATGCACCAATAAACTTTTGTGGCAAATTTGGTGAAGATCCAACATACAATAGACGGTACTATTATATTTATATAGATATAGTAACTTTTATTTGTGTCTGGTTGCATTTAAGTGGAAAAAACAGAATACTTTTTGCTAGTTATTTTACTAAAATAACCATTACAGCTTTTTATTAGGTTTAAAATGTTGAAAATCATTCCCAGTGTGTGTGTGGTTAAAAAGGGAAAAAGAAAATTATACATTGATGTACAAGTATACATCAGAAGATTGATCCACTGATTGTGACCTAATTCTAAAAACAAAATATAAGATTTAATATTGGTTTTCCTATGCTTTACCATATTTTTGCATTCAAGCACATAAATTCAAAAGGAAATTTTGTTTTTAATTTAACCTAACCAGTTTTAGATGCAGAAGCAATCAAGCTGTATATTAAGAAGCATGCTAGTATTTAAGCACATGTTTTATTTGATTTTATTGAACCTTACCTATATCATGCTTGCAGATAATATTGAACAGACATCCAGATGCTAATGAAACCATGCCCAAGGAATGAATATTATTTTTCCACATCATATTAACATTTTCTATCCGTAATATGTGAAATAAGCCAGTGTCTTGCATTCATATACATGTGTACATGAAGTATCTGTGCCCACACCAGTACATATAAATTTTTGTGTGTAATTTTAAGTAATTTGCAGGAAAGTAGTTGATCAAATAAAAGTATGAAATTGTCTAGAGATCCATAAATTTGTTTATTTTTTTGTTTATGCATATGTAAACTTTTAAATGAAAAAGTACAAAACGTTTGAGGTACACTATAAAGTATTATGTTCCATTACTTAAGATATTATTAGTATATACAGTATCTATGAGCTGTTTTGTGGCTAAATTGGTTTAGTATAATTTCCGTCTTGTGCTGTTTGTATGAGCACATAAAATACTGATTGTATTAAGGCTATTAGAGCAACTTTCAGTCACTACTCGTTTTTTGGTAACTGTTAACCTCAGTAATGATGATAGTAATTATTCTAAAATGTTCCAGTGAGTTCTGAATACTTTAGTCATCTGTATTACTCCTGCATGTAGAAAACAAACTTACAAGTTTCACCTGCACGTCTAGATACTTGGTATGATAGTCTTTACTTCTTAGGTATTGCTCAAGCAAACTACATTATCTTGAGAAAAAAAAAACTTTCGATAGCCATATATTACACTTAAAACAACAGTACACCAGTGTTAATAAGATTGAAATAAACATCCAAGTACATGTCAGAAGTGGACAGGAATATAATTATTGTTCTAACACATTTAGTATGGTGTAGTAAATGACAATTACAAGGACTGTCATCATATGGGACCTGCTGTTTGTGGACAATGCTGCCTTGACTGCTCACTTAAAGAGTTACCTTCAGATCCTGATTAACAACTTTGCAGCAGCCTGCCAAGAGTTTTGCCTCACCATCAGCATCAAAAAGACCAACATCCGGACACTAAGGAGACACTCATCTCCTCCATAGGGGAGAATGTTGTCCACCATCAGCAGAAACCTGTACATTAATACAGAAATCAAAACACAAATTAGCAATCAACACCAAAATGAAATTGTACTCAGGACTATATGGTAGTGAGGCATGGATGACCTACACATCGTAAAAAAAGAAGGTCAATAGTTTCCAAAGGTGCTGTCTCCGCAGGATCTTTGGGATAACGTGGGGGGACAAAATCACCAACAACGAACCACTTGAGCATGCCAATATGCAGAGCATTTTCTCACTATTGAGTCAGAGAAGATTGAGATAGCTTGGATACACAAGGTGCATAAAAGATGGAAGAATCCACATCTTGTATGGAGAATTGGTTACAGGAAAAAATCAGTTGGACATCCCCATCTATGCTACAAGGATGTTTGCAAAAGGGATATGAAAAACTTTTGAAAATTGCCTTGCTTGGAAAAGCTGTGTGAAGGAAGGTATACGGATAAATGAAAAAATCTCAGTAAGCAGAAGAAAAAGGAACCATCAAAACAACTTCAGCACAACAGCCTTCATGCCCAACATGTTTGCCTACTCAAACTGCAACAGAGTGTGCTTGTCCCTAATAAGACTATACAGCTACACAAGAAAGTGCCTAAAAATTATGCATTTTTTATGTTTTCTTTTTTGGTGCTTACAAATGACTACTAGTACTACTAGGAAATGGCACATCGTCAAAACAGAAATATTTAATGATATCATGCTCTGTGAAGTGTGGTTCACCAAGTATCTTCTCTGTTAAATATCACTATTTTGATAAAGTGTATTTATTGAAGGTCATTACAGAGAAGTTGGAATTTTTTGTAAAATAAGGGCATGTTATGTAGCTGCTAGTGTAACACAAGAGTTTGAGTGACTAGTGATATTTTATGTAATGTGTTTTACAAAATTATTAAAATTTTCTGTGGCTTCTGTGCTCAAGTAATTCATTTCACTATCACCCTTACTTCTTACTCATAGGTGCAGGGATCCTGTCAATGGCTAATGCAGGCCCAAACACTAATGGTAGTCAGTTTTTCATCACCTTGGCACCAACACAGTGGCTGGATGGTAAACATACTATTTTTGGACGCATTTACAGTGGGATGCAAGTGGTCCAAAGGATAGGAAAAGTTGCCACAGACAACAGTGATAGACCTATAGAAGATGTGAAAATTACCAAGAGTTATATAAAAATGAAGTAAACACTTTTGAAATAAAATTACTTTTATTGCATAGAAGAGGTGAAATGACTATGGACTTAGATATCAAGCTTGAAATATACAAATAAAACCCACTGACATTGGTCATTATTTGAAGATGGCTTTTCCTATTTAGTCTTCTGTCAATCAGGAATGACAACTTATTATGAAATCATTGATTTTCATGTGTTTTTATGTTGAAAATATCATTCAAAGGTTGATGCAGATATCTTGAAGAAAAGAAAAATTGTTGTATGTAAAAGGATGAGATGTGTCCAAATAAACTAATGATTGATTAAAATAAATAGCCTTTCCATAATAATAAAGTACATTGTAATTATAACTATACACTTTTGCAGGCTCTGTTACATGCTTGGTTCGGTGGGTACAGTCTTGTGAGTTACATTGTTATTACATGCTTGGTTCGGTGGGTACAGTCTTGTGAGTTACATTGTGGAACCAGTATGAATATATTTTCAAATGTTTTTAACTTTGTAGAAAAAGTATAATAAATTTCTTAGGGGCTGGGTGTGGCCTAATACCCAGACTGTGAATCTCAGATTTCATGGCTCATATTCCATTGCTAAAAAAATGCATTTCACATTGTGGGGCTGTGTGTGTACTATAATGGTGAAGGTCAAAATCCCACTATTTGGTCAAAAAAAGAGTTGGTAATTGCTTTTGACTAACAGTCTCCCATCTTCTCAATCGGTTCAAAAGTGAGATAGCTTTGTACAGCTAGCCCTTGTTTATAGAAAGTTCTAGAACAAACAAGTGCAGATGTTTCTCTGAGTCTTTAGAGCCATCTAACTTTAAGGGCCTAAGTGGGTCCTGAATCCCAATTTTTAAGTTTAACATGCTAGAAAAAGCATTTGCATTATTTTATCCAAAATACTGCTGTTAAAATAGGCAAGGTTTATAAAGTATTCATTATACAGGGTGATGCCCCATGGGGATTTGAAGAACAATAAAAAAGTAATTACATATTGTTTATTAAAGTCAGTGTTCGAATTGCTGGCCATTAACTTCAAAGCACCTCTAAGCCTATAAACAAGTACATTCTGAAATCTTGAAATGTTAAGTGTCTTCCTTTTACACAACCAAGTGGTGGACAAGAACAGTAAACTTGTTACTGACTTCTGTTGTTCTTTAATGCATTGTATTTAAATCAAAAGTTTGTTTGGATAAGGGAAGATTCAATTTCTTTGTGAATACAAGTGTATAATGTTATGCAAAGCATTTCATGACTTATTTAAATTTTAAAAAACAC